ATGTATATATATGTATGTATGTATATGTGTGTGTGTGTGTGTGTGTGTGTGTGTATATATATATATATATATGTATAGGCTATTATATGTGAACTTTATTTTTCATTCCAATAGCAGTAATGATTTCTTGCAAAAGTTTTACACATTGGTTTATAATTTTTCCCTATGTACTAAGTTGCCAGTAAATTTCTTAAGAGATTCTTAAAATGAAAATTCATTTTATCTTTGCTTTGCTTTTTTATAGGGTGCTCGTAAGAATGGAAGCACTGTTTCCTTGCCAGATTCCTCATTGCTATATCTCATGAACCTACATAATCTTGGGGAAAAGTCTATATTTAATGATGACCAACCTATTACACATCTGACAGTCTGAAGACAAAAAATAATAAAAAGAAAGACGCATTTAAATTTCCATTCAACAAAGAAGTCCATTTAGTCGACAATTTCTGCTGCATTCTTTTCCAAGATGAACCGGTACACAACCATGAGACAGTTGGGGGACGGCACCTATGGGAGTGTGCTTATGGGCAAGAGCAATGAGTCTGGGGAGCTGGTGGCCATCAAAAGGTACCATGTGCAACACATGAAGGTTTACCTTTGAAATATTGATCTTTGTTTTCCTTTGTTTGCTTGAGAATATGCAAAGCACAGAGATGCTAGCTTGGCTAATGTGGAATGCCCTACTGGTGGAAATGTTGCCAAAAAGGAATTCTACTGATCTCCTGTATATTATGTTAGTGTTTTGGTTTGTCCTGCAACATTGATAAACCAAAACTTGTAAGTACTGCTTTTTATGCAAAATAAATTCGGGCTGAAAGGGAATGTGGTGTTTAGAATGTTTTAGAACTTAAATTTGGAATTTAGGATACAGAGTAGTAATAGACCTCAAATCAGATGTTGTTGTTGTGTGCCATTGAGTCGGACCTAACTCATAACCACCCCTCCTTGGGTTTCCGAGGTGGTATCACTATGGAAGTAGATTGCCCATCCTTCCTTCTGAGAAGTGGCTGGTGGGTTTGAACCACCAGCCTTCTGGTTAGCAGTCAAGTACCTTAGGCACTATGCTACCAGAGGTCCTACAAATTTGATAGTGTTTATAATGTGACATTGAATTCTGATTGGCATACGGTATTTTCCTGGGCTTGCCAATTAAATGGAATTATATTTTAAAAATCTACTGTGTTATCTATATATCATAACAAACTACCCCTAAATTTAATGACTTCAAATAGGAACAAACACTTAGTAACTCATACAGTTTTTGTGGGTCAGAAATTCAAGAGTGGCTTGGTTGGGTGGTTTTGGCTCAAGATTTTAAGCAGGAGAGTCATCAATACTGTTTTAGAATAGTCACTTTGACAAAAGAGTGGAGACTTGATTGAAGAGGTCAGGAAGTTAGTATCTTTGTTTAGTCATATGGGTTGGAGGTAGTGGTGAACTGATCTTGGAAATTAGCACTGGGCATAGAAATAAGTACAATCATTGAAGGGACATTTAGGAGATAGGCTCTATAGGAACTGGTGACTGGGCATGAGGGGAGGGAATAAAAAGTAGAGGAAAATTACAGGCTGACTTCTGGAATTCTGGCTTTAAAGGGCAATGGAAGTGTCATTGACTGATGGGGAAGGGATAATCACAGACAGGGATAATAATCCAGAGCTCAGTTTTGGACATAACACATTAAGATGCCTGTGAAACATCCAAATATAAATTTCCTATAGGCACTTAAAGCTCAGAAGAAAGTCTTGGCTGGTGATTTAATTAGTCAGTAGTTAGTAATTGAAGCTACATAAAGGGAGAAGAAAAGAACATGTAGAACCTTGAGGGACTGCAGCATAAAACGGAAAGCCCTGAAATGGAGTACTGAGAAGCCACCAAAAAAATACGGAGAGTGTAGAAAATATCAGAATCCCAGGAAAATTTCTACAAAAGGAGGAGTACCCAATTGGAAGACAAGTAAAAACTAATGACTGAAAAGCATTGGGTTAGTGAAGAATGTTTCTGGCTGAAAATACATAAACTAGGAGCAAGTAACAGAACCAATAGCTTAACTAGTTAGAAGTTTATTTTTCTCACATATCAAGAAATCAGGTTATTGAAAGTGCTAGGGCTTTCAGTGGCTCAGAAGTATACTCAAGGAATTTAGTCTTTTCTGTCTCCTTCTCCAAACTGAGCGTTGAACATTTTTTTTTGTCCTCAAATATGCCCACTAATGGCCATATTGTTTTAGCATGCGGCATTATATCAGTGCTTAAGGAAGGAAGAAGGGAGAGTAATATCTTTAGTATTAGTTAATAAAATATCTTTCCCAGAAGCCCATAAGTGACTTCCAGTTACATTTACTGACTAGATCTGGGTCTCAAACCCTCCTGGGAGGGCTTAGGAAGTATCTAATTTTCCTGCCTCCTCTGTGAGGAGGCTAAAGGAAGGGGCTGAAAATGGCCTAGCAACCATACAATAATAATTGCCATGATATTCCTTGGATTTAGGAAATATGATGTCATTGATGCTGTGGTGAGAGTTTGTTGCACAGGAATAGTAGAAGAGATAAATTACAGTGGGGCAAGGAGTAGTGGAAAACAGTAGTAGCATTTAGCTTTGAATAGTTTTGGAAAATGTGCTAATGAGTTGCTAAGAAAATCAGAGAAGGATTGCAACTATCAAAGAGTCTACATGAGATTACATGGGATGAATGTTAGAGTTGAATTACTTGTATTTATATGACTTTTCTTCCCACCTTCCCTAAGCTGTACAAAAAATAGAGACTAGGAGATGACTAAGCGGGAATGGTAGGATGTTAGGAGGGGGAGTGTTCAGTTTGTGTGTGCACTCTTGAGAGTATAGTGGTGAAAAGGCTGATTTTAGGACCCAAGCTGCATGAGGAGGCAAATGAAACCAAGCAGGCTATTGTAGGAATGGCAAAGGGTTGAACAAGTGGATGTATAAAGACAATTCAGTGGTAATTATGATGAAGGACAGGATGTTATGGTCAGAGTCTGTAGTTCTAATGTATGAGATCTTGGAGAGCAGAACTATTCCTCAGAGTAACAAGGTGTTTATGAGGGACTATGATAAAATAGAAGTGAATATCTCATTGGAGTTAAGGAACTATAAAGCCAGTCTACTGGCAGGATTACCAATAGGATGTTAACTATGATCACTACTCCTTAAGTTTGTGAGACAGTGAGGACAAGACAGACTCTTAGTAGTTTGTTGACCTTATGTGTCTACAAATGTCTTAAAGAAGAAGGCTATACCATTTATCTCAAGCCTGATGCAAAGGAGTAAACTTTACCTAAAAATTAGAATATTAGGCCTCTTGTCCATTCTCAATTTTTGCCAATTTGTTACCAAAACAATCCACATCCCCAAATATCCATTTTTATCCATGGTGGTATAAATTTTTAGGCACTCCCTGTTTAGGCCATAAATACTGTAGATACAACATTTTGTATAACACTTTCAATCCATCCATGCCTTTCCCCTCCCCACAAAATTCATGTTGAACAAATTTAGTATAGCCAATGGAGAAGAGCTCCCTATGCTTAATCTTCATAGTGGGCAGTAAATATGTCCCATGAAGGAAAATTACATCATCTGGAAGAAGATATTTTTCATTCTGAAAAGCCCTTTTTTTGTTTATTATTACTTTTATTGTGAGAACATAAATAACAAGACATTCACCAACATAACAGCTTCCACATTTACAGCTCAAGGACACTGATGACATTTTTCATGTTGGGCCACCATTATTGCTAACCTTTCCCAAAATATTCCATACCATTAGCATAAACTGAATGCCCCACAAATGAAAACTTCCCCTTACCCCTCACTCCTACCCTCCTAATAGTCTTTGTTTTATTCATTTATTATTTTTTTTGTTTTGTTTTTGCAATGTGCCTTCCCATCCCTTCCCACCCCTGGTAACCAACATAGAAAGTTTCCTTCCATATATAAACCTTTTCTTGACTTCTTACAATAATGGACTAATACAATATTTATCCTTCTGTGATTGACTTATTTCACTCAGCATAATGTCTTCCACATTCATCCACATTATGTGGTGTTTTGCAGATTGTACATTATTCTTTAGTGTTGCATAGTATTCCATTGTATGTACCATAGTTTGGTTATCCATTCTTCTGTTGATGGCTACCTAGATTGTTTCCATTTTTTTTTGCTATTGTAAATAGTGCTGCAATGAACAGGGGTGTACATATATCTGTTCTTGTCCTGGCTCTAACTTCTTAAGCCTAACTATCTAGTAATGGAATTGTTAGATCAAATGGCATTTCTAATTCCAACTTTTTAAGGAATCACCATATTGCTTTCCACAGTGGTTGTATCATTTGATAGTCCACCAGCAGGGTATGAGACCGCCAATCTCTCCACATCCTCTCCAGCATTTGTTATTTTCTGTCCCATTGAAATTTGCTATTAGTGCTGGGGCCAGATGGCATCCTATTATTGTTTTGATTTGCATCTCTCTACTGGCTAATGATCATGAACATTTCTTCATGTGTTTGTTGGCTGCCTGAATATCCTTTTTGGTGAAGTGTCTGTTCATGTCTTCTGCCCAGTTTTGAATTGGATTGTTTGTCTTTTTGTTGTTGAGGTGTTGGAGTTTTCTATAAATTTTAGAGATAAGTCCCTTGTCAGATATGTCATTACCAAATATTTTTCCCAATCTGTAGATCCTCTTTGACTCTTTTGGAGAAGTCTTTGGAAGCAAACAAAAATTTAATTTTTAGAACGTCCCATTCTCTTCTACTGTTGGTGCATTTTGGGTTATGCTTGACAATCTATTTATGTCATAAGTTAACTAAACCAAGCTCACTGCCAACTAACTCCAGATGGATCAAAGACTTAAATGTGAAACCTAAAACTATAAAATTTCTCAAGGAAAAAGTAGGAGCAAATTTAGGGTCTCTAATTTATGCCATGGAATTAGTTTTTGTATATGGTGTGAGATACGGATCTTCTTTCATTTTTATGCAAATAGATATCCAGTTTTGCCTGCACCATTTGGTAAAGAGACTATCTCTTCCCCATTTAATGGATATCAGCAGACCATAGGTTGATGGATCTATTTCTGAGTTCTAAGTTCTGTTCTACTGGTCTATGTGTCTGTCATTGTACCAATAGCAGGAGGTTTTGGCTACTGTGTCTGTGTTGAGATCTGGCAGTGTAAGACCTCCTACTTCAGCAGGGCTTTGTTTATCTGAGTCTCTTTCCTTTCCATATAAAATTGATTATTAGTTTTCTGTATTCTTAAAGAATGTTGGTGGGAATGCATTGAATGTATAGATTGCTTTGGGAAGTATTGACATTTTCACAATGTTCAGTCTTCCTATCTATGAGCATGGTATGTTCTTCCATTTATTTAATCTCTTATGATTTCTCGGAGTAGTGATTTGTAGTTTTCTTTGTACAGGTCTTTTGTGTCCCTAGTGAGATTTATTCCCAAGTATTTTATTTTTTTTTTGGTAGCTATTATAAATGGTCGGAAGGAAGGTTGGGCAATCCTACTTCCGTAGTGATACTGCCTCGGAAACCCAAGGAGGGGT